TTTTGCCTATATGAGCACAGAATTTTAAGAAGAAAAAGAAAACCTGCATAAATTAACCCATAAGAAATATGACTTCTGTGTTTTCTTTTAAACTTAAAGATAGGAAACTTTTTTTTAAGCAGGGCCTAATCTAGTTACAACATCAATGTATACAATTGGTCACTGCAATCAGCAGCAAGTGCAGGGGCTGAACCAGAGATGCATAAAAATGTAAATCTTAGGTAGAAAATCTTTTTATGGAGCACATAGCAGTTTCAGATCACATGCTAGAACAGCTCAAGCCATTCATGATTTAAAAGATTAGGAATTTGTTTGCCATTGAAAAAGGAATTAATTGCCTGCACATGACTGATTCATGGACATTTGTTACTGGCAGTTTTTTGTGCAAGAGCTCTCAGTTTTATAGGTAGTATGTAGAAATATAGATGCATTGTATTTTCCTGTCCTCCCCACAGTCAAGTGTTAATACTTCACTCCCCTGCCATACTACATGGATGCCCGTTACTATTTCAGATGGATTTTAATCCAGAAGAGCAGGCTTTGTGCTGGTATTTTTAATTAAAATCCCCTTTGCTTAGCTCTTTTTTGTCCTTTGGAATATCTATCAATCAGAAAGAATTACTGCAGGACATACCACCTGGCAGGAGGCCAGGCTGTCCCCTCCCCACAACTCTGCCTCAAACTTTTTACTTCATTAACTAAATGCACTGAATAAACCTTAACATCTCAGCTAAATCCTATTGGCCCTGGATTTGCTGCTTAATACTAAAACCCTAGTGACCCATTTTTCTCCTGTTGATACTTCTATCTCTGATGGCAGCCAGCACAGGAAACTTCCCAAAGAACTTAAAAATATATAAGGAACAAAAATCGGGAGAATTCATCATTCCCTCTTTCTGTTACTGTGCATGAACTATGCATAATCTCTTTGCCTCTTGTGTAATTCTTCCTTTCCTTTTGTGCTTCAGAAACAACAAATTGAATCTATTGCTCAGCGAATGGAGGTGGCAAAACGCAGTTGTTATTAAAGTGTGACAGGACCACTTTAAAAAAAAAAAAAAGCATTGTCTCTCAAATTGTATAGTGAATTCTACATTTTCTTGTGAGAAACGGTTATTCAAATTTACAGCAATATATTATCACAGCAATGCTGTATTTTGATTGGAGCTCTGAATGAATCTGTAGCACTAAAAGTGGCTATTTAAGCTTATTTTTAGACCTTTATGTTGGTTTGCAATTAGTGCAGTTTCTATCTTTTGTTGCTTATAATCATTTGCTGTGCTGCTTTCACAGGCTTAATAGAGATGTCTAAGGTTATTCAGACTAACCGCAGCCTGTTCACTGCTGAACCCTCCCACTGCACCCAGTTTGTAATTGTTACACCTGACCTCCCTCCTCAGCTGCCAAATCCCCCCCCTGCCCCTCATGACAAGTATCCTGATGCTCACTTTCCAGCTCTCAAGTCTTTATGCATTAATCCCCACCAAAGAACCCACATTCGACTCCCCTCCCAGATGCAGAACCCACCTACAGCAAGACTTGGCCACTTTCTCTCCTTACCCCTTCCTAGCTGCCACACACTCCCTGTGACGGATGCCCAATCTTCTCTCCACAATTTCTCAAAACTACGTGCTCCAACTCAGCTTCCTCATCCAGTGGTGGCATGACCAGCTGCGCTCACCGCTTAGGCGATGGGCAGGCGGGGCAGGCAGGAGTGCCGGTGCCCCCTCTGCAAGTGCAGACTGATCACAGAAGTGGCCACAGCCACTCCTGGAAGTGACTGCAGTGATCAGCCATCATGGGACCAGCTGGAGGGGACCCTCCTCCCCCCTGCTCGGTGGCACTGGTCATGGGGGTACATGCCCCCCCTCCCCCCGAGTAAGGCGGCACCAGTAGCCCACATCCTCATTGCCCTTCCAGCTTCTGAAGGCCCACTTCTCTGGCATTTGTCCCATACACCTGCAAGGTCTTGGCTTCAGCTACATTCCTGATACCTTTTGAGCCTGCTCAACTTCTCCCACTGTAGATAAGTACCTGTACCCCTGTAAAATCCTTGTGCCATCCTTCCTGAAAGAGTCTAGTCTGAACTCCCACTTCTTAGAAAAGATGGAACTGGAGGGCCAGATTCTCTCTTGCCCTGCATAATAGTTGCAAATCACTACTATTCTTGTGTACTGGATTTTTTTTTGTGCTTAATCTGTACAGATGTGAACTGCATTAAGTGCAAGAAAACTGAGAATCCACTTCACCCTTTTCAAAAGGACAATGACTGACTGTTTGCAATGATATCAGAGAGCTTTTTTGTTTATTGTCCAACCAACAAGTCAGCATAATAAAATCCTGCACAAAAATATCTGTCAAATCAGTTCATATTAATGTCAAAAAACAAAATTCCCCTCACAGAGCTTGATAGCTAACAGAATTCTGAATAGCATGGGTCACATCCTGAAGTGCTCCTTCATTTAATACTCAAATTCTCCCTTAGGCAAACTTTCATGGACGTCCTGGGGCATAAGGACCAAGTAAAAGTTAAAGACCCAGTTCAAGATTCTGGACTTCTGGCAAAAAGCAATTCATAAAAAAGGGAGGATTAAAAGAGTAAAGTACCTAATGGTAAAGCAACTGTAGAATTTAGGATAAACCACACATGTGCCAGGATTATTACCAATTTGCCTTCCATAAAGCTGTTTTCAAATAATGAGGCTTTCTAATGGAGTGTGCTTTTTTGCTATTATTTTCTTATTTATATATTTATCACTAAGGTGCATTACCCAGATTTTTAGCTTTAAAAAATGCAAGAAAAATATATTAATTCATTAAAGGATAAAACAAACTTGTACTACATTCACAATTCGTTACATTGTCATACCATGTACAGTATGGAGAAGGTTTACAGGCACTTCTTGAAAAAACTAATAGCAAGTGATTTCAATATTTTGAAGATCTTCAACGTCTCATGAATAAGAAACTAGGAATTGTAAGGAAAGGTATGATCTGACCAAGAAATCCATTCACCTGTATACTTATCATTATCTCTAGTCAGAAATAGATTATAATGCAGTTATAAAGGGATCTTCTCATATAGTAAACCAGTTATTTCAACTTGCAAAGCTGTTATCAATATTATGTATGCATCTTTACAATTTTTATTATTCTATACATGTTTTAGTGTTCTTCTCTCACTAGGGATTATTAAAAAATACAGTTGATGCATCACTAGCAGCATTTTTGTTTAAATAAAATGCAATGTCAATCGCAACCAACTGTAAGCCTCTTAAGAAGTGCTTGTCTACCTTTTCTATGGCCAATTCCTGGAATCCATTTTGAGTAATCCACAACACTAGTGTATGAACTTTGTACCAGGCATCTTTTTAGGTGATAAGTACTGCACAAGTGGATTACTACTCACTTGCCTCCATTTTGCGCTGTTGTGCCACTTCCATAAGCCTTATATACAAGGAAAAAACAAGAAAAATAGCTAGATCTGAAGGAAAATTGATTTTGCAACAATGCATTTAAAAAGGATTTTAAAAAGTGTTAACATTTGAAGGTATTGATACACAGCAACTGAACTGATTTCCTTTCTGTGACTTGATTTTCTTGCATGTCATTTATAGTGGAGTTTGCTGCTAGTCTACATTTAGTAAATTTATCTTATAAAAATTATGAAGAGAACAAATAGAAAATACCTTCAAACACATAAGAATAACAAAAAGCATATATATTTCATTATAGCAGGATTGTGTTTAACCATGGATCAGTAACAAATAACATCCTCAAGTTATGGAGTTGTAAAAAAGATGTCAAATGAACAAATGGAAATTTAGTTAGCCTTAAACATAAAGTAATACAACTTTTTCTAACCTAAAAAGAAAATATTTTGACTTTAGGATATCCAGAAATTTAACACAATCCTATTAGCACTATCCTAAATTTTCTGTCAATTTCCTGACTAACACTGAATTTTCTTTAAGAACTAGGTATTAAAGAAGTTGCACATGTTCTTTTTCTCTATTGTCAAACACATATGATTAGGCTAGCGGTTGTCTTGTTTTATCAACAAGATTTTTAAAAAATCTCAAGAAATTGCAATAATCGGTTAAATATATTCATACAGCTTCAAATGATAAGACTCGTACTACATGAGAAAGTATTTCAGTTCACTTGATTCTTTTATTGTAATACTCATTTACAGTATGCCAAAAAACTTCTTAGCCTCTGCTTTTCTAATCAGACCACAACAGCTTGTGGGGGTTATTTTTTTTTTTTTTTTAGTGAATAGCTTGCTTTTGCCTGTCCTGATTTCACATTAAACTTACAGCAAACTATTAACTGGGGAGGAAAACAGGGAGGGTAAGAAAGCCTTTAAATGATATTATAGCATTTAAATCCTCAAGCTGCCAACTCAGGCTGAGCTGCTCACCAAAATGAAGCGCACACATTTCAAATGACAATCCCCAATACATATTTTAATGTAGCCCTCTTGTCCAGATGATAAGCCATACAAACATTAAAAAAAAATCTCCATACAAATCACTTTAAAAGCAACTTGTTAGTTTAAATCTTTGAAAGATTTGCCTTTTGTTAGGCTGCCCTGGGCATTCAGCCATCACGATTAACAGCACGCTAGATAAACACAACTCTGATCACAGTGCATATGGGACAGCAAATACAGCAAGCTGAGTTCCAGTCTTAAAGATTTTTTCCTTTAAAAAAAAAAAAAAAAAAAAAA